CTGAAAGCCTGTCGCTGTTGTTTCTGTTGATTGCCTTCTGGATTTGATATTTTGAATTCATGCAGCATGCATGCATGACGGTCATAGGTTTTTCTTTTAAAGCCAAACTAAACCTCTGAGACTCATAAATCCACAATGCTAAACTTGCGAGATAAACATTGTCATATTAATAATTAAAGAGAGTGATATCAGTATCATGAGAGGTGAGAGGGGTTGCTGTTGTTGTTGTTTGCGGCTGGTAACAAACGAAACTGATAAATAGTCATTCAGAACAGTAGAAAGTGTGATGTAGGACCCCTATATCTGGGCCCATTCCAGCTGGACTCCTTTCTAATCTGAGGGAGAAATGCCAGTGGAGAGCCGTGGTCATGGGAAGACTCCCTCTCCTCCTGCCTACTCCTTTTGCTGTTACAATCAGAACCCCCGAGATGCAATGCTTTGTGACTGAGGTGAATCCACTCTCCCAGTCCCACCCCTTCTTGGATTTTTATTTGCAGCTTTTTGCTAAGGCCTTTTCTTTGGCAGTGGGACGAGCCTTGGCATCTCTGTGAACACCCATAAAATTCATTTCATGGATGGCATTAAGAGGACATGGGGAGGAGGGAGATTTATAAAAAAAACAGATACAAATATATATTTTTAGTCACATATTTTTAAAAAGTTGCTATCATTTATGAAGAAATACAATACATCTCACCATAGTGAGGAAAATTATGAGCAGATGACCTGTCGGCTTAATACAGTACACAGTCTGCTGTCCAGCTGCTGAGTGCTGATGGGAAATTTCCATGTCCTTGCTTTCCATTCTTAGAGTTCTTCATTTTAAATGAGATTAGGTCTAAAGGGCCTTTCAAATGCAGGAGGCTTCTCTGTTAAATAGAGAGCACCGCCACCCCTTAACATACCAAGGCCCTTGCTGAACTCAGTGGACACTAGGAAACAGATTTCCCCAGAGTGAATTTAACAGCCATCCTTAGCAAGACTTCTGGAGATGTGGAAATTTGTTTTCTATTTTCTGGTATTTGGCTATGGCTAATAAAGTTAATGCTACCCTACTGTTGCATTTGCTGTTTTTTTAATGGATTACTTAGCTGCCTTTGAGGAATACAGTAGGACTTGTACTTGGTTGGAATCATTAAGAAATGCACTATAAGAATGGAGCAGTGATTATAGGGGCATGAGTGGATTTGTACTTGGGCATAAAGGCCCACATTGGGAAGGAAGCTATAAAAGTTCACCTTGGTGAGGGACACACAGGTTCCTTCACCAAGTTCTACTCAAGCTAGCTGTATCTCAAGTCCAGGCTCTTGAGTGCTGTTTGTGTGTGTGTGTGTTTTGCTGCACATGCAGTTAAACTGAAAATATTACTGATTACAATTACCTCTAATTGACGCTGGGTGGGGTCTGCAAAATTTTCCCAAGGGAATTCCTCTGTGTGGGGGCACCAAGGATAGTTGCCAGTCATAGCTGCCGGCATCTCTTCAACTGATGGATTCCTGCCATTGCTCAGATTAAGATAGTTAATTATTGACAGTAGTTGAGTTAACTGGAGGGATGAATAGACTAAGTGCAGCTTACTTTGAAAAGACCAGGTTGGAGGAAGGGAAGAGGAACCACCAGCAAATATCTAGGGGGCAATCAATATCCAGATTTTTCTCTCAGCTGCTTGGGCAGGGGGAGTGATAGCTACCTGGACTTAGCATCATATTTTCTCTCCTTGTTTCTAGCAGGTAGCTAGCATCTTGTTCTCGTTTACCTTCATCTACTGTTGGCTCTGTATACTAGGGAGTAAGTGAAATAGACTGAATAAGTAAGAGACTGGAGACCCTCAGTGGTGAACCGAAGCTGTGAGGAGATCGTGTGTGTGTGTGTGTGTGTGTGTGTGTGTGTGTGTGTGTGTGTGAGA